TATTCGTGAGCTCCATAGTTGAGAATAAATTTCAAAAGTTTGTGAATTAAAATTCACAAGACACAAGTTTGATATTTTTGTTAAATAACTGATCAGAATGCTTATAGTTTATTTTGTTACATGGCTAAAACAAACGTGGCTACTATCGTAATAAATGTGTAAATGTTAGCTAATTTATATAAACAATGCGTATAATTTTTTTAATATTCATCGAAATTACATACAATTAAAATTATGCTTTTTCTTTTACTAACCCAGCATAGAAAATTCATATTTTAGTATTTATTTCGCGTTAAGTAAATTCAATTCAAACCTCATAAATAACATTCTGATATGTCGGTCATAAATTCGAATGTTGACATTTTTGTGTCGTATTTTGTTAATATGCCGTCGCCACAGAAAAATAGAACATATTGATAAAAATTCTAGGCCTATATAGGGGCAATGGAAACACGTGGAATGTTCCATTATACTTATAGTTTTTTAAATCAATCAACTAAATCAATCAACTGAATCAATGAAAGAATAATCGGTCTTTCTGAATTCTGATTTGTGGTCGTTTTGATATACAAGTTCGTGACATTTATGAATCTGATCAGACTGAATAAATGTGGCATAACATTCAAAATCAAAGCTCTCTCAGCGTGTCAGGAAAAGAACATTACGACTATATTTACAAAAAGAGTATTACTAGCTGTGGTAGTTTCTTTCATCTGAGATATGTTAGTCAGAAAGAAATTGTTTACTTTTAGCGCGTCTCAAGAAATATGTTAATTAGCTATAAATTATGCAAAAATCATTGATCATGGGCTCCAGAAAATCTTAACTCGCGCCAAATACAGATTGATACCCGCAGGTTTTTCTTCAGATCTTCTGAAAATAAGTATAAATCATTACAGCCAAGCACATTTCAGCGTAATTTTAGGTCCCCATTTGGAGATCTCAGGCTTCGATTTTAGTGTAATTTTGTAGACCGAACAAGAAGCAAAAACCGGTGTGCCGTCAAGTCGCTGTCGTTTATTCACAATTTATTCAAATGCTCTTATTTTTGGAACAGAGAACCTGAATTGTATCTTAACTTGTTGATCTAGTTGAAATTTGGAAATAGTCAGGCGTTTTGACACAGCGCGGCTCTACAATTTACCGAAATTCAACCTTCGATTTTGCTTGAAATTAGCTCTGCACGGGTAAAATGAGTTTCGGCGTCAAGCGAAGTCATAAAAAAGAATTTTCAAAAAATAAATTTATTTTGGACACTTGTATACCAATGCCTTTCAACACACAAAAAATAAAGGAAATCTATTTTCCGAAGTCAAAGTCATCGGACCGCTCTTAGCGGGACTGCCACTTAAGTATTTTAAGATTGAAACCTGGTTTATTTTCATTTAATCTCCAAATATATTTCGAAAGTTCAGTGTCCTACTTTTGTTTTGAAACATCAGTTGGTATTGCTTCGGCGTCGCTCTTTAAATACACTTGTGAAACTCATTAAAAACACAAAGGAAGTCGTGATCGTGAAGGAGTTTGTATATCTAATACTGCAGAATCATGCTGATTTACACATAATAAACTTTTAAGTTCAATTTTCTCACCAAATTGGCAAATCTCATCAATTTATTTTACATTGTTGAAGAATATGAATGTTCTCATCTGTGTTGTTTGGATATTGTAAATAGTATACTTGCTGTCATGCCAATACAGTGTTTGATACAGCTTGTGTTGCTAACTGAGGATCCGGATGCCCGTAACTGCCCTTGAAGTTACGTAACGTATTTTGTAAATTCCAACCAATTTTAAGCCCAACGTTTCCTTTAGTTACCTTAAAAGCTTTCATATTATTCACGTCGTGGAAATTGAGAATGCGAACATCACATTGTATACAACTATTTAAAAGTGTCCCCAATTAGCTCTGTGACTGTAGCTAAATACATCGTCACTTAAAGTTATTCATTCATCAGTTCGTTCGTTCGTTCACACACAAATGAAACCCGGCTATATCAGTGTTTCATAGATCAAACAATTTATATTATATTGGTTTTATTGACGTTGCGAGAGACGTCAATTGGTATAATTGATAATTCTTCGATCCTAATCAATCTGAAAGTTGTCATCTAGTAACATAAGTTTTTTTGTAGGTCAGATTGCATGGAATATGAATTAATTGGGAATATTGTCACCATGGAAGGGCCATTTGTGACAAACAATAGACAATTCCCATTATAGACTAATTTAAAACTAGGCTAAATAAATCACTGCAGCTAGAAAGAGCATACTAAAATTAGTATATTTGCAAAGTTTGGTTGCGAAATGTTGTAAAATGTGGAAAATATAGCCTTGCAAATTTTGTATACTTTTAATTGTATTGCGTACGAAAATTGCTACCATTTTCGGCCCAAATGTGGTAGGAATGTGGTAGAAATTCCGCACGCAATACGAAAGTATACAAAATTTACGAACTTTGCAAGGCTATATTTTCCTCATTTTACAACATTTCGCAACCAAACTTTGCAAATATACTAATTTTAGTATGCTCTTTCTAGCTGCATGTGATTTATTGGCATCTCCTTGCCTAGTTTTAAAATAGTCTATAATGGGAATTGTCTATTAACGTATATAGTATTATTAAAATCGACTTTAAACTGTATCACATGCAGGGCAGTATTAGACGGCATATTTGGGACCAGCTCTTTTTGTTCTGTTCATTAATGACATGCCTGATGTTATTTCAGAATCAGGAACGCTCGCATTGTTTGCTGATGATGCGAAGTGTCTACGTACAATCAATTCAGACGCCGATTGCGTGGCTTTACAAAGGGACTTGAATAATTTAACTACTTGGAGTGCAGAATGGAAATTACCATTTAACATTGACAAGTGTACCATCTCTACAGTAACAACGAAACGCAACCCTGTTTCTTTTATTTATGAAATAGCTAATTGCGTTATCAAGAGAGTAAACGAACAGAGAGATCTTGGAGTCCATATAACTAGTAATGCTACATTTAATGAACATATATATATTCAGATAAATAAAGCGAACAAGATGCTGGGCTTTATTAGACGTACAGTTTCAAGGGAAAAGTGCTTATTACCTACAATGAAATCACTGTACTGCGCACTGGTAAGGAGTAACTTAGAGTATGCTTCTGAGGTTTGGAGCCCAAAATCAATCACATTAATTAAGAAAATCGAAAGGGTTCAACGCCGAGCAACACGGATCTTGTTGCCTGAATTGGAATATGTGGAACGTCTCCAACAGTTTGATGTTCCTCCTCTTTCACACCGTCGAGAGTTGAAGGATTTAACCACCTTTTACAGGATGAAACAAGGTTTATATAACTGTAATGTTGACTCCTACGTTGAATTCTGCTCAGACACAAGATTACGATCAACTGCCCAGGGGAAATTGAAAACCCCTAAATGCAGAACAGAACATTTTAGGGCAACTTATTTTAATAGAATAACGTATTTATGGAATAATCTACCTGAACAAATTCGAACTTTCAATGGTAGTGTGGCCATATTTAAGCGTTCTTGTAGAGAGTATTACAAATCTATACCGTATGATCCTGACCGACCTCGCGTTACTTGGGATCCATGAACTATCACACATTTGTAACATTATAGGGGGGGGGTTTGTACAGTTATTTACTTTTTTCGATCATTTTGATCGCTACTTTATTTTTGGTGGAATAGCTTAGCATGGTTCTATTGTTCCTTTCTATTTCTTCCTTCTGCATGTAGTTTATTCAGTTATTATTTTTGTATGCAGTAAAACTTGATTAAATTTAAAAAAAAAATATAACAATATATATAACATATATATGCTTCATATCCAACCTATAGATACTGTTTCATGACTTGGACCTACGTAGCACAACTGTACTAACTTTCGAATTTCCCTTTCACGTTGTTTCAGAAAGCTGATTCCAGCCAAGTCTTTTGATTACTTACAAACAAATCATCGACCCACTTTATATCCAATTTTAGAACCTAACGATGATCTTTTTATCGTTATCACTGTTTCGTCATTTGGATCTATCATACCTTTATTTACCCTTCCTTGCATTTCAATATCTCGCGCTTTAGCTTCAGATGGTTGAATCCAGCTAAGTCTTTTGACTACTCCCAAGCAGATAGATTTGTAATCTTCACGAAATTGTGAGCAATATATCCCATATAAGAAGGGGTTGATAGATATGTTCATGAAAGCAAGCATTATTAAACAGAAGTGAAGTAGACTGTTTGGATCAACATAACCAAATTTACTTAACAAAAAGCTAATACGACTTGGTAGCCAACCAACGATTAGGGCAAGTGATGCAGCTAAAGCCATGCCTGTAACTTTCTTTACTGGGTGGTTTTGTTGTCCAACAACAAATTTAAGCCTGTATAAGGTGTAGATGATATGTGAATACAGAATAATCATAGTTGCAAAAGGAACAATTGACTGTAGTGTGAAATCCACCCAAGGTAATTCATCGTTTCCAACAGCCAGTGTAGTCCACATGCATTCATCTTTCTCTTTATTGTACTTTGCACGGAAGAGTGTCGTAATATTCACAAGGATTCCTACCAACCATACTCCAACAACAGCCTTGACTGCCTGCTTGGCCTGAAGTGTTAGGTAGAGATGTGGTCTGTTCACTGCCAACCAACGTTCAACTGTTAAAGCCAGACAGGTGTATATAGATACATAACCCAGTGTGAATGGTAACCATGCTGACCATATAACCCTGCAGTAAGCATCTTTGGCACTAAAACCAGGTGGTGGCGATGGAAGATAGAGGTACCGACTGAATATCAAAAAAATAGCGGTGATGGTATCTGTAACAGCCAGGTTGCATATAAATACGTTGTAGGAATGTTTCAAATACCGTGGTTTTGTGAAATAGATGTAGAGCACCAAACTGTTTCCAACGATTGCAATTGTCACAATTAATGAGTAAATAAGATATGTGTACCACGTGTTGCCTTCAAATGCCATATCAGACTTCAAATTCTAGAAGGTAAACCGTTGTAGTTAGAGCAAGGTTAGAACAAGATGGAGTAACTAGTTTGAAAATGGACTATATGGAGTAACCGGGAAATCGATCTGATACTGATAACTGGTTGTTAACCACAGTGTTAATTATTAATACCACTATATATTTAGTGGTATAATGATATTAATCTGGTTTAATACCAATATATAATTTATAGTGGCATCTGCTAACCTCTTCTAATCCAACGGACGCATTTTGAAATTCTAAAGTGACAAACCATAAATATTAAGCCCAACCTACATCCAGCAGACAGCCAGTAAAGGAGGTTCGACTGTACTGGTCGAAATTTAGATTTTCATTACCATGCGTTTTGTGGACCCGACATACATAGACACCAATTTCTGACTATCACTGGACCACATTAGACCATTGACTGAGGTGAAAGGGGTAGTTCAGATCACCCAGCTATCTCCATAAAAGTGGAACAATTAACTATTCTCTATATAGTTGTACGTACGTATTAATGTTCCGTTGTCATGCTTTCGATAATTATAACGGTTACCAGGAACAAACATTTGCAATTGGTTAAAAACATTCTGTTCAATAATAATCTTAATGGTTATGATAAAAAACTTGAAAGAATTATGGTTGTCAGTACATTTATATATATCAGTACTGGAAAATTCCCAAGTAATGTATATAGCTCATAGTTAATAGTAACGTTCTAATAGTAACGTAAGAACTGCTTGTGGTGGTGTAGTAAAGAACAAGGAGGCGTTTACACACACGGCAACAACGTTATATTCAGAAGTTCACAATCGTAATTCATTACACAACTGATCAAAGAGCCTCTCTTTACTACTGAGCCTGGGGCCGAGACTGGGGCTTTCTAGATTCTTTTCTGTGTTCCTGAGATCGCTGTCTACTCTGACAACCCGTTGTTTCTGAAAAAATTAGTAATTATCTCTAATTTACCTTGGATTTTTAATTATATTCACCACAACTGCCTCTTTAACTAGTAAAGCTTTGCCTTCTGTCTGGATCGATAAATGTACTTTAACGAGTTGATGTAGAAATATCAATTATGTTTCAACTCACACCATCATATATATGTCGACGACCACTTTAAATGATGATTTTTACCTTAACAATTATTAAGCATCTTGTGAGATCTCGACAGAGTAACAACATCACATCATTCGCACGCCTGGTCTTAAGGGTTGTATTTATAGCAAGATAAGTAGCAATTAGAAGCCAATTAACCAATTAAATAATAGTAATCTGAATAATTGTTCAAAACATGTTTGTTGAATTATTTGGCCAATGGACTACATAGGGATCCGCTTCAGTTACCAATGTTGGATTTGAAATTATATTTTGTCTCGAAATTTTTATTTTTGTGGTGTTAGTTACTTATGTCAGCAAAAAGTTATCAGTATAAATTATATACAGTATTTTCACAAAAAGCGACAATGAAATTCAATGGACTGCCATTAGGAAATATTTACCATCCTTGGACGTATCTTAGGAACCCACGTCAGTCTGGTTTTACCAACGTAAGACATTGAGTATACCAACAAATTCTATGACGTGATTCTGCATATTACTCAATGGCCGGTTTTAAGGTCTCGATAGAGTATTAGACAATTGACACAACAGGTTTTGGTAGAGGGAAACGAGATCATTGAAGAAAGTAGAGTCCGCGCCTGTCCTGAACTTAACCCCCTAGAAAGTCAAAGTCAAGCCGGTTTTCCACTAGGCGAATTTGGTCGCTTTTTCCTTTGTCGGTCGCTTTAGCTGACGTGTAATCGATGCCGACAAAGGGGGAAGTCGCCTATTGGAAAATCGGCTTTAGTAGAAAAAAGGTTTGAAAACATTTTAAGAAAATACGAACAAGAACGAAAAACATGCCTCGATTCGACGTATGAACTCGTAGGCGCACGTGTTAGTACGTTGCCACTATTCCATCCACTGTGCACTATGCATGCCACTGGCGAACTTGCTGGAAGCCTCCGCTCAAAAATATTTTTTAATGCAGTTAGTTTTTTTCCTATTTAAAGATGTTTGAGGCGAACCAGGAATAGGATTATTCATATTGAGTTTTTGGACATTCTCTGGTTTAAAATATTTATTTCACATGCATGCAAGCTTTCAATCATGCAACGGGTGTTTAACAATGAGATAAAATACAACAATTTACAATAACAGAGTGACATTTCCGCCTACATATATGATTAATGACTAGGGTATTAATAGATTTATAAAATTATTTAATAGATTTATAAAGTCTCTTCAATAAAAAGTGGTAGTGGTCTCACTGTTCTGACGAAGTTTAGAATCATTGTCAGCATTTTTTGTAGCAGTGCGCCGCCTTTGTCAATAATAAATTATAGAGCTTTTAACACCAGGAGAAATGAACATAGAAGAAATGTTGAACAATGCAAGAGTGGATCAAACATTGCAAATCATGCTTGGAACAAAAATCACTGAATAGACTTTGAAAACGGCAAAGTAATTGACAAAGGCGACCATCGGCGAAGATTCACATTATAAAATCTGACAATAATTCTAAACATTTGCCAGAACAATACCAGTTTTTATTGAAGAAACTTTAAATGTCTGTTAATTTCTCGTGACGTTTATTTATATATTGTGTATCATGCCTTATAGCCTATAATGATAGGCAAAGTTCGTTTGCATATAGTGAGAAAATATTGAAATTTTAAATTTTCTTATCTAATAAAGTATTAAGTATAGCCTATAGGTAATCTTCTCGTTAAGAACCCAACTCAACGTCTTAACGTAATTGTCTGAGGAGAAAGAGCAACCTTGACATTGGCATCAGTAAATGGTTAGACTTTCGTGTCTTCTCGGATAAGGACGTTAAATAACTTAAATCGTAGGTAACTCGGATGGCTTATCAATTGGACAATAATAGCCTGTTAATTGGGTAATCCGCTCACCAAAGAGTGAGAAACTCAATAAACGCAAACTCACTGATACAGGGGATGAGATACATGGCTGTTAATATTGCACTATTTTTATATCATATTTAATGCAGTTTACGTATTGGTGGTTTGCAATCAATCCCTTGAGATTTATAAGCTTGAGATTGGAGGAAACCGTTCCTCTTACATGGCCATCATGATGTCAAGTACAAACCAAGACTTACTGCAACAAGCATGTCTCTTCTTACCCTTGTATAATCATCTCTGGAATGTTTGGAGCATGTATATGTTTGATTGTGATAAACTAAATCCTAGTGATCAACATGACTTTAGTAGACTAAAATATCATATCAGTGTTCAAAAATATATCAACATGCTGGCGAGCCTAGGATACCATTTCACATGGGCATAATGGTTATTATTTATCCGAGTATCAGAAGAAGCCCGTTACTTTAATTAAGCTATTCTTGAGTTTAATTACACGAATTTGGGTTGCAAATGCGCTATCATGCGTTCTGATTGGTTATTAAAGAATTAATGAAGTAAATCAGATGAATCACTATTTGGTGTCAGCAGTGAATATTGCTTTTGTGTGCTTTGGTTAGCTTTGGCAAAGCTATACCTTAAACCTTTTTGAGGGAAAATGTACCGAAGCCAGAACTCAGAAGACATACATTCGACAGACTGACGTGCTTGGCCTTGGGCCTACGCACTGTAATTTTTAGTTGTTCGTCCCGGAACAATGTTTTAAAAATCAGGTAGCAACGGTATGACTATGGGGTTGATTAGGTCCAGTTGAACAGTTTATGCTCTTTCATTGTTGGATGTTTGGATTTTGTTTGGAACCTACACGCGTGCATGCATCCTGATGACTCTATTCCAGATTTTTCTATGCTATAAATAAGCCTTATATATTCATGACAGGCCATAACATTTCCCGAAAGCCAATATTTCTAATGTTGACCGACTATATAGAAAAGTAGAAATGCATCGTAGACAATAACAACAAATTGACTTGAACTTCACATTAAGATAAAACCACAATATCACAAAAACATTTCAACCGGTAAAATATCGTTGTCACAACAGGTCGTTGCTGTGTCTACTGCATGCATGGGCTATGCATGTCTATATGGTCGTATGGACTATGGATACATGTAAATCTTCTATCATTGGCGAAATGCCACAAAACTTTATAAAGAAAGTTTTTTATTTAAACGTCAATTAAGTACTTTTCGAACAATTGAAAGAGCTTTTAGATTGCAGGATATCTGCGTGTGATAAAAAGGTGAAAAACATCCATGTTTACATATATACTTTAAATATAATTTAATATTTTACTGCTTCCCTACAATTCACTATTTAGTAATTAAATTACGATTAAAGTGCATGTTTATGCCTATGCCCTATGCCTGGACAGTGGTTAATCCAATCAGCAACGTTACAACAAACTGGTGTTCATAATTGGACACAAAGGATTTTACATGAAAAATAACTTAAATTCTAAAACCAGCTAAAGCAGTGCAATTATCATATCGTTTGAACAATCAGCCAAAGTAGAAAGGGTTCCAGGAGCTTATTGTAATCAAACAAGATGTCAAGAAACTCGAAATGTTTTTGTTCATGTCAATCATGACGATTATGCAAACTTGCTGAGCACGGTGAAGACAATGAATGAATTTGGTACAATTATACAATAAAGCAATCATCCATCAACGTCAACTGGGATAACTATAAACAGCACTGTTAATTGAAATATTATTAATCAATACTCAATAGTGATAAGAAAACGGCAAAAGTTCCAGAAATTAAAGATTTGTGCATGATATAAGTCGTCTCAACAGTATAAAATTGCAGTATATATTATGTAGAATAGAATGAGTTTAACAACACTATAATATACCAACCCGCTCGATTGACTATTAAGTATAAGACATAAGTATCCAAAATTAAGTTATAACTGTAGCTACGGAATATTCATACTTATAATGAAATATGGAATTGCCGATAACGTTAATTCGCTTCCTCTTACTCTTTGGACTTTGATAAATTTAAGAAAAAATGAAAGGCTGCTTTCCAGTTGAGTGTTCTCCATACGTGCGTGTACGCACGGAAAAGTATAAGTCTTTCTAATGAAACGATTGAATAAATAAATAAATAAAAAGATAGTTTTCTGTATGATTTAATGTTTATTTGTTGTTGAGGTAATTAGTACTAATATGAAATTTAAAAAGTTTAAACTCTTCTGCATGTGCGTGCACGCATGCATCATGCCGTATGAAAAACGCTCTATAGAGTCTATATAGAGATTATATAATATATGCTGTAACAAGCTGTAACTCAGTACGTGTAAGGAGAGCGCAGTCTCACTGCGCATGCAGTTGAAAAATCAACATTTATAATAGGTTTAAAATTAACATTTTGGAAATTAATTAACATCGATCATTGCATGATACTGTGTACGTGTGTGACAGTGTAATTGTAAATTCAAAATATCATGAATAAAATATATAACGCGTATATTGCTGTTGTTGCTTTAGTTTAACTAATATGAAATAGTAAAATATAGTCCTATAGACATATTGTTGTTGTTGCTTTAACTAGTACTTTGTAATATAGACGTAAAGTCATATACTGCATAATTCATAAATATGTAACATGTCAACTTGCAGTGATTAAAAATTCAATGCATTCAGCATTTGCCTGCATGACCATATATTGACATTGTTCTAAATATATTCGTTTGCCTGAATGATTGGAGAGAAATACTGTTAACTTAAACACATCACTACATTTGCCTAAGACTAAGACGCTAAATCATTCATTCCCATTGCACAATCATGTGCATGTATAAGTAACAATGTCGATTCAATGTGAATTGAAATAACAAAATTATCTAAGACTATACTAGTGTGCATTTAATTTTTAAAAAAAACTCAATAGCCAATAATCAATATGGGTTGCAACTGCAAGCATTCGTGCTATCTCATCAGATTTGCAGGTGAAAAGGAAGTATCCCATTGGCATGGCCCAAGACCGAAGACAGTAACTTATACAGTTTAAAAATCGCTCTGTCATCAATTTCATTGACCATCGCTGATTTTCCCAATTGATCATATCAAAGTCGTCGAAGAAGTTATGTACTATATGTAGTATTAAATAGTTAAAGCACATTTGATGTCTAAGACTAAGTTTATTATATACATATAGTCTTATATAGACATTTATTTAATTGACCAACAGGGCAAATGCCAAATGGAAAAAGATTAAGTATATATATGTAGAGAAAAAACATTTAAAATATATCAATGCCAATGGAGCAATCGGAATGAATAATGATTAATGGTGAACGACAACGCGAAGAGTGAGAAAAAACAACAAATGACTATATATACTATAATTAGTTATATATAGTATTAGTAAAAGTATTATAAAACAACAAATGACTATATGTATATATAGTAAGATATATTGGAAGCCTGCACGCTTTTTCCTTTTTTTAAAATTCACAAGAGCTCAATGTATGTTCAATAATTTTCTTACCTTTGACTTCCTATAACAGACTCTGATTTCGATTTAATCACGCGACACTAGTATAGGGTACTACAATCCAATTGCATCAGTTAGCGTTTTCACTGCGCGGTCACTCCAAAGGAAAATTACTCCTTTAGTACTTTGCTGAAAAAGAGCGACAAATAAGCAATAGACAAATCCACAAACTGCATAATTGTGTAAACTTATCCGGATACTCTTAAGTTGATCAAATGCTCCCTGTCATCGTGTGACCTTCAGTCTTTTAAAAAGGTTTTCGCATTGAGGAGGGTCTACTTTGCGCTGCTTCGCCTTCAGTGTGAAGTGTTATTTCCTTTTTCTCAAGTGCCCAGAGTTAAACTTAAAGAGCTCAAAGTTTACATACTTTGCTTTTAGAAAGATCTTGGATGTTAACTTCCTTGACCTTGTAGGCTTGTATGCTCATATAGCTACATTTGTGTGGGTGTTTGTGGCCAAGAAAACAAAACATTTAAATGTTATTGTAAAGCATGTTTTCATGGATCAATGTAAATGACATGCTTAATTATATCATAGAGATTATAAATAACACTAGAGGAGGCATTGTAATCTTAATTCAGTAAAAAAAAGGGAACGCGATTATTGGGGGGCAAATTCAAGTCCCGGATGTGTATTCGTGTTCCCATTGGTGACGAGTTTCAAATCAGCCAATGAGAGCTCGATTTTATATCCGGGACTTGAATTTGCCCCCCATTAGCTGCGTTCCCAGTTTTTAAACTCGATGCCTCCTCTAGTGTTATTTATAATCTCTATGAATTATATAGTATATTATAGGGTCATTTAGTCTCACTACAAAAAAACCTAAACAATTTTGACTCGAAAACGAGAGGAAAATGTAGCTACTCTGCAGGCAGTGATAAAAATATTGAGTAAAATTTCTCAAATTTATGAGCAAATTTACTCATTTTTTGAGTTAAGTAAATCTTCACTTCACCAAAAAATTTGAGTAATTTTACTAAAAAATTTGTGTCACTGTGGGTTTGACTGAATTAAGGTTTCTTGGTTATAAGATATAGAATCTAGAGCATAATTGAACAAATTGTACAACTCATCAAATTCCACTATATAGGCATTTTTGTTACCATACTTAGTAATGCATGTCTCATGATGTTTTAAGTACTCTCAGGATGTTTTTTTTGAGTGAGAAAATTTCACAGACTCGTTTAAGGGTTTAACATTGTTAATAACATCACGGTACGTTAAGATAATATCGATGACGACATTTGCAGTTACGTAATCAATCTGCGATTTTAAAGAAGACATTAATTATGTGGTAAGAAAATTCTTATAATCTATAACTTGATTGTGTCAACAACCTCGTGCTGGATCTGCCACGACAACATCAAGGGGTTTTGTGCGCAATGTACTGGGAAACAAAGAGATATAACTGGAATGACGTCATCAACACAAATGATTGAGAAGTACTGGTGAAATACGAGACAGAGGACGTCTTTAGCAGGATTTCAAAATCCGAGTGCGTTCATTCTCGTTCCCAGAGCCATTTTCACTCGGTCACTCGTTGAAAACTAGGCTCTGATTAGATGACTAAAGGGAAAGATCTGATTGGCTTCTCAGAGAACTGCTATTTCCCAGAAGTTGAGCAGTTTTGCTAGCCAAAATTATTCTACATCCTCTCCTCGTTCCCAGGGCCTTACGGTCGCGCGCGACCTTCATAGGCCCTGGGATGCGGAAGAAGTTATTTGACTGAGAATCTCAGAATGACATTTTTCTCCAAGATTGATTTAGAAACAGAGTAGGAGTAGGAGTAGGTTAGGGTTAGGGCAAGGATTAGTGTTTGGAACAAAGTTAGTGTTAGTAAAACCGTTGCTTTGTTAGGTTTTGTCACTCTGAGGCCAGCGAAATAACCTCTTCCCTGGGATACACGGAACTGGAAGTGCAAGAAAACGTGCAGTAGTGTCTAAAGCGCATGCTCTTGAATTGGGACGCTTCAGCACCCTAACAATTTTTACAGACAAGTATTACGAAGAAACGAAGTATTTGTGTTGACATATTTTGATAGCCCTCTGCGAAATATCAGTTCTCTGAGAAGCCAATCAGACCTCTCCCTTTAGTCGTCTAACCCAGAGCCCAATTTTCAACGAGTGACTGTATAGCCCCTGCCAGATGGGCCCCTGCCAGAGGGGCTATACAGTTGTATTTCGCAGCAGCTCCTGGTTAGGTGTAAAATTGTATATAATACACCTTTTCGATAATTACGTCATGAATACGTTCTTGGCCTAGGAGCCTCATTTTCATGAAACGTGAGCCAATCGCATTCCGTCCTGATTAACGAGAGCGAGGCTCGCAGGCCAATAACGTATTCATGACGTAATTATCGAAAAGGTGTATTTAGATTGTACGAAATTTCCATCTACAAAAAACTCTTCAACATTTAGTCAAGTTAAGTCTACTGGAGTACGGGGCTTGAACACTGCAACCATTCACACTTTGTGTAAACGTCGAAAATCAGTGAATCACAGTAGGTTATTTTAAAGAAAACTTGATTGGAGTTATTAAAACACTAAGTATACTAACACAGTAAGATACATTTTGAGGCACCAAGGTGCAGTGGAAGTTCCGCAATTAAACATTCATTTCGTCATACAAACACAAGTAATTACATATAAGAAAACATTAGTCATTCATTTTATATTATGTGTACATCCATAACAATGCATTATTAATTAAATCAATCTACTACTCTACAGGATACTACAGATTTATATCCCAAATTATTTATTTACTTTCGTGTGACCAACATTGCCAAGACACCAACAGCGGCAACTGTCGCTCCTCCTACCAGGAGAGCGCCAATTGTGCCATCTGGTAATAAGAAAAATACATTGGTGTTAGTTTTGCCTGCTACGTGGAAATATAGGATTGAAAATGTTTTTCTAGGAATTAGAGAATCTACTTTTAAATAGTGACCTTGTCCTAACTGGTCTAACCTATCAACATATAATGTAAAAAAGGTGTTGGTTGATAGTATTTCAAGAGTGATTGAGCAACAGAATGTAATTGAGAAATGTCTTGTGTAGCATCACCTCATTTCTTTTTAACAAGTATTCCAACGAGTGCAGCGGCACCAGCCAGAGCTAACACAGTTCCACCAACCACCACCATACCTGCCCCTGCAATCGCTGCTCCTAGGACACCATCTGCACGAAAAACATACAAAAAAGCTATTTCCAACCATCCTTTTCAAGTGACACACAGGTTCAACAAACACTCAGAGCAAATATGATTACAAATACATATCCGGTACCATCTGGTGTCCGGAAAACAATATTCTGCACATCCCTAGTGTATTAGCAATGTCTTAAAAATACGTATTTGTTGTTGCAATAGAAACTAAATTAATATATGTCGAATGCATTTAGCTGCTGAAGTTTTTTTTTATGTACAATTTCCGGGGTTTGGTCGTCAGTTGACGTGTGGATCAACGTACATACAATGCTGTACTGTAACTAGAGAGATTCAGAATTTGACTTCCACCACTGTTGCCATTAACCAATCAGATGCATTTCTGATCTAGGGGTTCACCAGATAGAGTGTTTTACTATCCTGCCGGATATTGGCTATATAAGGTCAGGCCTAATCATTCAAGGTTAATTATTTTTATTGGTCATAAAGTGATGGTGTTTATAATATATTGACTTGAAATAATAGGAAATAACTTCACAATCCAAAATCGACAACCATGCATAGTTAGCTGGAAAAAGCTTGCTCAAAAAGTTCAAATTTTAAACTCACTATTTCGCATTTGCAAGCAACTGAAGCAAGCATGAAAAATCTTGAAAATATTGCCAGTTTCTCTACGATCATTTCAAGTAAAAGTATGATAAATACTCGTACTAAACCATACTATACATACTCTTAAACCATATCACATCACTTCTAACCTAAAAAGAAGGCCTGACGCTTAAATAAACAATATCCGCTATCCGGCCAGATAAGAAGATTATCTCACTATCCAGCCCGACATGATATCCGGTGGATCCCTAATTTAATCTATCCATGCAATTATATAAACAATCAAATGCATATTAAAGTATGTGAGAGGTAGAAAAAGTGACAGTCAAATCCCAACCTCTCTAATATGCAGTTCTACGCACTTGTACAAAAGCGAAGTTCTGTTGGTAAGGCATACTGTGAACAAAAACAGGGACAGTTTACGTGATACATGATAAAAAGGCAAAGATTAATACAACACCTCCCAAACAAGTTCAAGCTAAAAGCCTAAGAATGATGCTGCACAAGACAATTTCCTTGCATATGACGATTCAATACAGTACATTTACTATATGCTTCTTGCCGAAGGCTTTGGGCTCTATATATTGTCAACAACGAACACAATTTTGGCAGTAGAAATTTAACTGGGTGGTGTTAATAATTTTAATTATTAAAATTAAATTAATTAATTAATTAAATTAATTAATTAAATTAATTAATTAAATTAATTAATTAAATTAATTAATTAATTAATTAATTTAATTAATTAATTTAATTATTAAATTTAGTATTTTAAAAGATACTCCTTATTTAGATTGACTTTTTTTATATATGCATTGGTATAACATTTCCCACCTCGTTTCATTTTTTTTTCAATTTTTTCTTTCAGTTCTTTCGCCTGTTTGTTATTTGGTTCTATATCCAGAACTCTGTTGATATATTTTAATGCTATTTGGTATTCCTACAAAGCAAAATATAAACAACATTCAGTATGCTAAAGGTATTGTCATTAATATCGAATTTCATAATATACACATGTAGTCCCAGTTACATGAAGTTACATGTAGATGTATTAAATTACATTACTCTACTTCGGTCTAAGCTAAGAATGATGCTGCACAAGACAATTTCCTTAAATAAATGTACTGTAAATGTACAGTACATTTACTATATGCTTCTTGCCAAAGGCTTTGGGCTTTTCAATAAAGTGGAATGTAGCTCAGTTTAGTTAAGCCCGAAAAAAGCCACGTGGACGGCAACGTAAGCAGTTTTATCGCGGGTGAGTTTGGCGAAGGACAGGTGAGTTAAAAAAAACCTCACCTGCTCGGAACCAATCAGATAGCCGCTTTTAGCACAGGTATGGGATAATAAATCATTGCTCCCCACACTGGCACCCACATGCATGTGCAATCTCATTCCTTTGGCCACAGTTAATAGACTAAGAACTGTGAACTGTAACTAGTCTATTAACTGTGTTTTGGCATTTCATTTAGTAGAATGCAATCTTGAAAGCTTCTGTCTCTTTTCAAAAGTATGAGGTCGAGTCTATGAATATCATGATATACGTTTCAATACTTTTCTAACCGGCTACATGTCTTACCGAAAGTTTGTAGTTTGCTTCAGCCAGGAAATACAGATAATCTCTTTGGTCTGTACCATGTGTACATAAATCTATAGAATGAAAAATTGAACAAATTGACCACGAGGAGTTACTATGCAATATGTACCACAGTTAGGTTTGATTATAGTTTGATCCAATTCTTTATTATTAACACTTAGAAGTGCTTACGTCACACAATTTTCAACCTATAGTTATTTCAACCTTTTAGCTATAATTATTCTTTTTTAATCAGTTTCACTCATATATTTTAGTTTTTTCCTTCCTATACAATTCAGGTTTTGCTGACTGAGAAAACGATTTGCCGACTGGGACACAATAATTTGCCGACTACCTCACGCCGCCTCTGTCAACAAGGGTGTTTCAGTTTTCAGCAGAGTTTCCAAGCTGTGAATTGACCTGTGAATTTGACATTTCCAAATTGATGTTGAGCCGTAGTTGTTGTGATCGATTAAGGGATTGATGCTAAGTAAATGTGGTTGATTAATTGAAAACAAATGGGAAAATGTATTTATCAGGAACAGCACTACTAAATTGAATGAAATGTCTTTGTCATACAGTACCTTGTAATAGGTGAGCACCTTTCTTTATGTCATTTGTGTTTGGACTTCGTGTCAGAGACCAAGCATAGTTAAACTGTGTGTGTTTTGAAACCTGCCCAGTTTCAAGCTCAGTTTTATACTTCTCTTCAAATCTCTAGAAAGTAAATAAAGATTTTAACACTGTCTCGCCGTATACGGAACAATTACATCAAAAATAGCGTGTCCTTTGCGCAGGAAAGAAGAAAATGTCAAAATGTGCTATTATATATATTAGCATGATGAATGTTTCATTGTGAAGGCCAACCTAAACAAGCTTACTATTGGGTATTATTGTTCTCATAACCATGACTAACGTAATTCATTTTGTTTTGAAAAGGTCATTATCTATAGGGTTACAAATTAGTGTATTCTTTCTTTATACAGGTGTATTCTTTCAAGATTCTTTCTTTAATACCAGAGTGATTATAGAATCAAGGGTGTATCGTGGGTTTAAACATTAGGGGTGTGTGGAGTCGCTTTGCCCGACAAAAAGGGTGTGGTCAGAAAAAAAAGTAAAGATGCTGGGCCGGAAAACTATCTAAAACGGGGTCCGCAGGGGTAGCCTATCCTCGTCCTCAGGCCTATGCTACTTTGCTCTTCACAGTGGACCTGGTCCCATGGGTCTAGGGATGGTATCAAGTGCCAAAGTATCAAGTGCCAAAGGCACGAGACCCCTAGGGGGCATGAGGGCATGCTTCCCCAGAGTCTCACCATTTCATGCACTTTGGGGGAAGATTTTACCGAATTCTGATGGCCAGAAAACGACGTATATTAGAGTAGTTTTTGTCCTTAAATATGCCCCCAACACTCTAATCCAACTTTGTGGTCAAAAATGATAATCAGCTTTCTTTAAAATCAACCGGAATACAAGACTCCAGTCATGTGACTTGGCAAGTTTGGTGACTTGATTATTCTTGCACTTGCAAGAAATGAGTTGTTACCAATGCAAGTCAGACATCATGTATATAAAGTGAAAATGAAATTTTCAACTACTGGCAAATGGAAATTCATAGTATGTGTAGTGAACAGTGCAGCCGATTATTACAACATTAAAACATCCTGATATTTTTTAGACTATGAGCTTGTACATACTGTAATCAGGGACGCAGGAGCAGTGGTGTCAAGCAACGAAGTAAATGTACTTCGTTACTGTACTTGAGTACTATTTTTGAGAAGTCGGCATGTAACAAAGTAAACTTTCTCTGGAGTACTTTTACTTGGAACGAAGTCTTTTTAAGAAGTAACGTTTTACTTCGTTATTTTCATTTTGTGGCGAAGTATTTCGACATACTTTCCAAATATTGTTTAATTTTACGTGATTTATTTCTGATTTATTTTAATTTTGGGATAGGTAATAGGACCTCTACATGCGTCTGGGATCTCTCGTTTGTGGCTTACTTATAAGCAATATTTATTTAATGGATTTCTTATATCTTCAACGGGGTCTAGAAAGTAGACCATGCCGTGAAATATTGTATATTAGATGCATGCATATAATGCGTGTGCTGTTTTGTGTCTTTTGTATGTCAATCCATTGGAGAAGTCCCCCAGCCCCTCTACACGCTACATTGCTTGTATTATGCACAGACAGCACAGTCAGGCTTTTAGCCAGGGTCCTGAAAGAGGGCGTCCAATTTTGGCATAACAATACGTCTACAGTAAAGGGGGGGGGGGGTTGAGAAAACGTTCCTCTGGAAAACCTTTGAAGTTTACGTTACTTCATGTCAGTATCTGTTCCAAGCTCGTTTGAAATTTTTCAAACACACTTGGCTTTGCGAGTTTGTGCCGCTATGCTTTTTTACTTAACTACGATATTTTCACCATCAAATTGATCAAAATGTCAAATATATAATAATAATGAGAATTGAAGCTATTTCGTTTCGGATACATTAATATACTTATGGAATCATTGAAAATAATTTCCCTTTCCCCCAGAATTTGGGCATCCAAAGGCGTCCACTTTTTGTTCTAGGGGCGTCCCAGGACGCCTGCACGCCCTTCTGGCTAAAGGCCTGAGCACAGTATTATAATAAATGTAATTACTAACCCTCACTAACCCTCTTATAAAGTGTTGAACCCCACCAAAATTTCGCTTTACTCCTCCTATTTTGTGTGAAATTCTTTAACCCTAACGCCTAACCTCTGCCAAAGCTCGCTCAGTGGTACCACTTGCACCCCACTAGAAATTTTTCCACCTCTCCTTTTAAAAAATGAAAATCTGCCCTTGACTTGTTGACAACCCTGACTGGACATTTCTCGACTTTGTATAGATGTACAACAACACCTTGATCTAGTCTACAAAATTTATAAGGCTCAAAATAACGGCCGGTAACCGGTCAATGACTGGCCAAATTTTTAATATGACCGGTCAAAGTTGTTTGACGCCGGTCATAGTTGCCAACCACATTTTGGCTCTCAGCTGGGAATTATGAGATTGATTTTTGTGCTGTTGTGGACTGTTAAATATTATGTAACTGTAAGGATTTTCTTCGTATTAAACTTTTCATTTGAATTTAATTAAGTAGTTGAATTTCTTATGCCAACTGCTGGTCAGATAACTTATAATACACGGCAAAAAAACGCCAGCCTGTAACAATGTTGTTGAAAACAGGCTTGAACAATGTTTTGCTGCCCATGTCGGAGACTGGGAACGAACAGTGTTAATTTTGTTGAGCGAAGCACATTTTTGTGAGACTTGTGAGAGCGAAGTGAGATTTTATAGCGAAGCGATTTCTATTATTAAATATAACTTTTAAACTTTAATTTGTGAGTGATTTTAAGCGAAGTGACGTATTATTTGTTGGGAATCAGTTTTGGAGGCAAACTTTCCTAACACCTGGCACCTCCGACGAAAAATATTGATGAAATTTGCGAATTATTTCTGGATTTTGACCTCAAGAGACAAAGTTTAGGTACGAATTCTTTTAATTTACTGGCGATATTTGTGGCGATATTACATAACGTTTGAGAGATTATTGTGCAAAGACTTGTTTACGTTCTGAACTGTGGGATTATTATTCATATTTCGGCGATTTGTGGCGATATATTTCATATCTGTGAGCGATATATTTTCTGTGTAAACTTGTGTACTGCGAAGGGTGTTACGGCAACCCGCGAGTTTAGCCTGCGACCAGGTTAGAGTGTGCGAAGTTCCGCCTGCGAGATTCGGCCCTAGAGGGGCCCTCTAGAGGTACAGTGATTTTCAAACATTTGTGATTTTTTGGAGTGATTAGTAAAATTTGGCAGCTGTTCCCAAATTTTAGTTGGCTGGAAGGACATTCTACAAGTGCTATATCTTATTGGCAAATTCTGTATACTTTATAATCATACAACATCAAATCTATTGATACTATGGCAACTGGGAACAGTGTAATTGAGAATAAGTTAGTACAGCTTAAGCTTATAGTTGGGCGAACCAGAAAGATTCTGGAATCCGGAAATCAAGAAGCAGTTGAGCGACAACAACGAGTTTTGCGAACCATTGTTGCTGACATAGACAAATGTAAAGTGGAAGAAGAAGCAAGAATGATTGACGAGAAAAAGGAGTTGACAGAAATTAGTGAATGGAATTCAAACATCGAGGAAAAGTTATCTGAAGCAGACAAGGACATTCATGACCTGAGAGAATGGTGTGAAAGTAAGAAACGAGAATGCGAGGAAAACCAGCGGAAGCAAGAATTAGATTTTGAACATGAACTATTTCAGACACGCCTAAAATTCCAGAATGAGCTACAGGCAGCTAAACTAAAGCAAGAATCAGCAAGTGTTGAAAAGAAAGAGTCACAAGCAAAGTTACCTAAACTCATCATTACTAAATTTAA